TTTTCCTTCAGCACCTTTTTTATTTCGGAGTAGGATTTGCATTTCTGCACCACGTCATTTGCGTAATCGCGGTCGAAAAATATTGGTTTGTCGTCAATTTTGATGCGCTTTTGCCATATTTTCTTAACGAGCATTTCCTTTGTTTCGAATTGGAGAAAATTGACAATTATAGATCGCGGTGCTGCTCCAGGTCGCGGTCTCTCCGCCGCCGCTCTGTGCGCCCGTTGAATCTGCAGGCAAGTTTCCTCATCCAGTGCCAATTCTCTCCGTAGTAAACTCTCCACAAATCGGGACACAGAGTCCCCCTCTGCACCCCGAAAATGCGCACATTGTTCTTTCGTGACCTCCCCTCCAAGTCAGTCACTTTTTCTCTCAGACTTCTGTGTTTTGAGCGCGGTCAGCAGTACTTCTTTGGCCTCCATGCGCCATTCTTCAAGTTCCCCTATACGTGTTTGAGCCTCTTCGATACTTTGCTTTTGTTCCTGTATTTCCTTGTTGTTAACTGACAGTTTTCTGTCTGTTTGCTCTTTAAAGGTGTTGAATTCCTGCCTGAAGTCAGCTTTGAATTCTTCCTTAAATGTCACTAAGTCCTGTTTTATTTTTGGTTTGAGTCCTCGTATTTCTCTCGTTAAGCTAGTTAGCCCCTCGTGCAGCGTGTCGGCGTTAGCTCGCTGCATGTTGTCGACTGCGGAGTTTTCATCCATGTCCAGTTCTCCTCCCGTTTTATTCTGGAGTTTTTGCGTTAGTCGTCTGCTTCGTTTGGTTCCCCCACTCATTCCTTGGAATAGTTGATAATGTATTTAAGTTTTTGTGTTTTAGTGGGGTTATTTTATCCTCGACTGGCTGGAGCTCTGGCTTAAGCTTGCGAAATCGGAAGTCGATGATTTCAATATTTTAAATGACAAATGCTTTTACTAAATGAGATATGACATTCCTTATATGCGACTGTGCAGACTGGAACAGATCTTGTTTGTGGAGTCAGGTGAGCCTAATCCGGTTAGATCACAACAATACTTCTTGGTCAAACCATAGAGCTGTGCTTCTGCAGCTGCTGGGCTTACACTTTATATCTGAGACTTCCTGCCTAGTGTGAGGATGGATCAGTGAGTTCAACAGTGCAAACTGAGTCGGAGGATCATGTGGAGATTCACTGAGGTGCAAACATCACTTCATGGTTTGAAAAGAAAGTTGCATGCATCACATTATTCTCAGCGATAGTGAGAAGAAATAGAAATCACAACATTCCTGATGTTTGACCATAAATCCACTGATAATCAGCTCTCAACAGCTTTCTGGTCTCTACTGCATAAATAACAGAGCAAGCAGACTCCTTTACTGTCGACTCGAGCATCCCTTAGGCCTTGTGCCAAACCCGTCAGTCAAAGTTATGAGCCTGAAATGAAGAAAGGAAGGAGAACAACAAATGACACGAGGAGGGAGGGAATACGGTTGGAAGTGAAAAGATGGCCGATACGAAATCAGGTCACATGAAGCAGCAGTCCTTTGGAAGCAGAAGAATGTGAAAAGCTGAATGACATATCAGAGAGGAATGTGTTTCCTCCGCCTGTAGAGAAAAACACAAGTACCGGAGGAGTGTTTGTTTTGCTTAATGATCACACCATCTGCTCTGTATTTACTCAAAGCGTCCCGGGTTCACTCGAGGAAACACACTCTGCTCCACAGAGGTGAGAAATGACTCCTCCGCTCACACTGATGGCGAGTTGCTCTCTTTCTGTCACAGAGTGAGTCAGTTAGAGGAGATATTCTTAGTGAGAAACAGCATGGCGCTTCTGAATGGGGAATTTAACGACTTGAAGACAGTCAGGTCTTCAATGAGCAAGAAGGCATGAAAGATTTAAATATGTATGCTCCAAGAACGGTGTCACCAGGATGAGAAGCAGATAAACTGTTGGAGGTAACACTTGAGTGTTTAACACATGGTTTGGCTAATTGTTCTCCATTCTTCTTCCCCACTGTTTGAGAAAAGGAAAAGAAGACACAAAGGTGCTCAGATCACACCGGGACACTTCAATGACCTGACACATTATTATGTAAGCATTGTTTTTGTATTCCTGTGGATTGATGTGCAGACACCATACAAAGCTGCTGTGTCCCAGTTTAAGACTGACAGTAAGAGAGAGAAGTCTACGGGGCGACCAACAGCTACATGTGAAAGATTGTCTCGTTATCAAAGTCAGTGGTTCCTAAAGTGAGGAGCGGGGACTTCCCAGGTCACAGGAAAAAACATGTTATCAATTATATTGTGAAATCTGCATCATCACTGTGAGATCCCATAACATCCTTCAGAACCCTCCTACTGTAAAACATATATATTATAGCAGTTTGAAATGTACATTTATAATGTTAAATTATTGAACCTGTGGACTCAAATTCCCCATTAAGGATGTCCCAAGGCGACTACCTTCCAAGTCATTTAATGCACATTTATATTCACATTATCTAGATCAAAATACAGCAAAGGGCCGGGTATCACCACTGATTGTCTGAATCGATTTGATTCCAATTCATTAGGTCCCAATTCGATATCTATAAATTTAGGGATATCTAAGTTACAATAACAATTCTGTTTCAATATGAGTTACATGAACGTTCTCATTCAGTCACCTGGTAAAACAGTTCAGCTAGATTCATTGCCTTTCTGCTCTGTCGACCAATCAGAGGCCGAGTCTGCGATCAGCTGACATGTAAGGGCCAATGAGAAACCACCATAGCCTGAAACAGACGTCACAGACTGTTCACAGCACAGAAATACAAACTGATTGAAATAAATAACGGGAATTGGAATTTAAGCCTATTAAAAGATCGATCTGTGGATTTGATGAATCGATATCAGATCATTCATATGAGAATTGATAGAAATCAGAAAATCGTTTTTTTTTTTAAACCCAGTCCTTAAAGCCGTGCTAAGAGATGCCATCCGTCCACTGTGCTGGTTTACATCCATGTTGTAGAGCGTTACAGCAGTAGACATGAACCAGAGCTACAGACTACTGGTGGGCGGCTGCTTAGACAGGAGTGACTAGTTATTCTAGAGCTAGCTAGCAAGGGGGGACACTTGATCGTTTAATCGGCTAATACCACACATCAATATATGAATCCTAATCTTTGTTCTCTAAATAAGTTGCTAAAGGAAGCGAATATATATATAAAAAAACATTTATATGTTCAGCTTTTTTTTTTTTCAGGAGCAACCACAACAAAACACCAAAAAGTCATTTGCGGGGATGCAACAACATTTTCCACCATAACAAACATGACCTCCCTCCTGTCAGCTTCTATTTCTCTGCTCTGTCGCCCCATTGTGTTTGAGCAGAAGTGTTTTATATTTAGAAAGCCTCTTGTCTCTCCTTGTCCATGTTTCATTCTCCTTCCAAACTGTTAAGTCATCTTATCTACATAATTCAGGAGCCAGATGCACAGCTGCTTGGCAACAAACTGAAAAGAACATTTTTATCTCTTTAGAAAGGCTGAAAGCAAATACTGCTGCAGCAAATTGCTCTATAGTTTGGGAGTCAGGCGTACAATCATGTCTTCATCATATCTTTATCATTTTCGCTTCAGAAAACTCAACTTCAGGCATTATGTCCTGCAATGAATCAACATTAACTAACTGCTGACAGAAGAAGACACATGAATAAAACAATCTTCTTTTACAGACTAGCACAGGACACAATGAGCTGTGCTGAGTTTATGTAGAAGATGAGGACCACAAGTGACAGGCCTGGTGACTGAGGCGGGGGGAAGTGCTGAGGATTTGAACTTAAGCACGGGGATTTGTAATTAACTGAGGATGTGCTTACAGGTCTGTAAATTTAAACTCCAATGGAAATAGTGGTAAAAACGATTAATATGTAAAGATTTAGGGATTAAAGGAAAATGTGGCCGGGAATACTAAATGCTCAGTATGGATTAAAAACACCTTTACTATAAACTTCTGTTATACATAGACACTTTTTAAATCTCATGCTGCCCCACCGGCTCGTCCCTGTCATCGGCCATGTTAATCAGTATTGATAGATACGGTAAAAATGCCAACAAAGCTGAACTAACAGTAAACAGTGAGCACACTGCAGTCAGGGTCGAGGCTGCCAGGAAGCCAGAAATATCTGCTGAACTCACTGCACCAGCGTCCCACCTGAGACCAGAGTGCAGGCTCTGAAGACAGGAAAGCTTTCATCAAGAGTTTCTTTCAAATGATAAAAACAGACAAACTGAAACCTTTGTTTTACTCTAGCATTAGAGGGGGTTTCAAGATAACTCAATTTGACACAATTTGTGAGTTTATCCATCACTAAATAGTTTTCTTAAGAACCTTAAGAAAGCAAAAGGTGTACTGCGAGATACACCTTGAATTGGTCGCCAGTGGATCACAGGGCAAAGACAGACAAACAATCATGCTCACACTCACACCTACGAGCGATTTAGAGTCACCCATTAACCAACGAGCAAGTCTCTGGACTGTCAGAGGAAGCCAGAGTACGTGGAGGGAACCTACTTATGTTCAGTGAGACCAGGCAGACAGGCGCTAACCATTGCATCACCATGCAGTCCATACAATGAAGAAAATGTTTGATTCACCATGCATTTCGCATGGTGACTCAAACATCCTGTTCGGGCCATAGCAGACCTGCCCAACCAGAAGTAAACATGCTAGCAGATTAGCTTGCCGTTAAAATAGTTTACCTAGCCTCACTGTTCTTATGACAATCCTGACATAATGACTTATTGATGTTCAATTTATGTGTAATTAGATATCCAGCACATGTGTGGATGGTTAAGAGAATCTGTTAAAACTGTTGAGTATGAACACTTTCACTCAGCTGCACACATGTAGTGTTCACACTGTTATATCAATCTACATAGATTATAATGATCAAACAGAACTATGATTTCATCTTGTCTTGCCATCTCTTAGCATATCCATCAATGCAACTCCTTCCAGAAGTCTCCATATGTTGTTATATGTCTTTAACACCCACCTCTTTGACCTCCAGCAGCCGTCCTGGGTACTGACTCTTGGCCCGCCGAGCAGCAGCCGGAGATTTGTGGTGGGTGATGGTGACGATGTTGCCGGGCGAGGCCGTGTGGCTCAGGTGCCTCTGAGAACCCGGGGATGAAGATGGTGTGAGGTGGGGGAGGAGGGAGAAGCTACGGGTCCGACCGGTGGACGAGCCCTGGAGGAAGAAGGGGAGGACACAGAACGAGAGAGAGAGAGAGGATAGAGATAATAAATGAATCAAATCATGCAACAACCTGCAATTTTTCATTAGGGCTAACTATTAGCAAGAAATGAGCCCTATGATGCTAAAGTTGTTTTAATAATCTGTTGTTTCACTGGTGAAGGACTTGAAACGACCCGAGATAGAAATCTTCAATCTGTAGATTTCCAAAGAAGTTACAATAATGTGTCCTGACATTATCATGACACATGAATACAGTTCTGTGAGGATCAGGTGAGTTGGATAAAAAAAGGTAGTCATCCCTTTTGTGTTTTTGTCATTTTCTGGGTTACAGCTGAAGTCACTTTTCATTCTTCACTTCCCCTCTGTGACTATTGTCTCTTCCGCTCGCTGACTGCAGTGATGTCAGGAGAGTATCTCTCTGTGTCTCTACTCTTTATTAGTTTACAGCAGAGGAAGGAGAAACCAGAGATCCAGAGATTTACCTCCAAGACGAGCGCAGAGGTCCGGTCACTGCAGCAGCCGACGTGTAGCTCAGAACATTTAGAGGGAAGCACTCAGCCTTTGGTCTTTAACAGTGACCAAACTACATGCTAAATATAAGGGGTGTGTAAGGGTTTAATTCCTTTATTAAGCTCAAATAGAAACAACATTAATTATGGAAGCTCTGAGAGGCAAGGGAATAAAATAAAAATAACATTTATTTCCCCCCTGTTTTTTTGACTTATGACATTTTTGCTACACAATCTTCATATTTCTTCCTTGGTGGAAAAAAAAAAGTTCAGCTGCATCATTAATCTGTTCCTTTTTTGCATTTGTGAAAAAAGATGAAAGAGTTTTGGCTATGTTTGCATTTTCTATAAAATCCTGTACTTTCCCACCAATTAAAAAAAATCTCTTAACAAGTTATGTTATTTATTATGTCTCAAATGAAATTCTAATGGGCACAGAAAGCCTAGTTGTTCATTTGCGCACTCAATGTATGGAGGCTACAGTCCTCCAAGCGGGTTCAAATCCAGGGTTCAAATCCGACCTGTGACCTCATGTAATTCCCCACTCTCTCGCTCTCTCCCTGATTTCTAACTATATCTACTTCAGTCTTTTAAAAATAAAAATAAATTCTTAAACCCATTTTTTATTCAAAACAAGTAAAAAAAAAAGATTGATTAAAAATGAAGGGGCGCCTGTAGCGTAGTGGTTAATGCATGCTCCCATGTATGGAGGCCACAGTCCTCCAAGCAGGCGGCCCAGGTTCAAATCTCTATCTATCTACTGTCATATCTCTAAATAAAGGCATAAGCAGTCCCAAAAGAAAAACCTTAGAAAAGTTCAATATTGTCAACACACTTTCAGGTTGTCAAGATGTTTTAAAGACTTTATCATCACCGTACACACTAACACAGTAATAATGAACATATAAATGCATATTGTAACCAATTCAACAAACTAAAGGCCAACAAAGAGAGCACACTTTCTTTTTATTTATACAATCACAACTATGTGTACACATGAGGCCATAACCTGGACTATAGTCTCCTGATAGAACATGAAATGCAGCATTAGCCTGACAGACTCAGCTCAGGCTGTTTGACAGGTGCTCTGCCGTTAGTGGACTGTGGGCAGACTCTGCACTGCATGAGGCAGCGTGGGTAGATGGTACAAGGGTCAGCTGCTGACCTGTTCTTTCTACACTACAGGGAGAGACACTAATTACCCACTATAAGAGGGAAGGGAAAGAGTTTAGAGTTTGAAATAGTTTCAAGAAAAAAATAATAAATTAATAACTTTTATTACCTTTCCTGATTTTTAACCTCATCATATAAAAAATATTCATACTTTGGTAAAAAAAAAAACTGTATTTAAAGCCCATAACAGACAAAACTAGCAGGAGCTATCTCTTCATTGAAGCAGAAAGTCAACAACATCACCAGACCAAGCCAAAGTCTCCTGCTTGACTCTTCGTTCCCTTCCTGTCAGGAGTAGTGTGAGCATGTGCTTCATAGCTAAACACTGAGCACATACAGGGCTGGCTCACTTGTTCCTACATTAGGGGGTAAAAAAGATTCATCAGACGGATGGAGAGGAGTGTCATGTAATGCTGTGAGAATGATTTAGACTCCATCTCTGAGGAGATTATTGTCTTCTTAGTTTCACCAAATAATGACCAAATGAAAACCTTACCAGTATATCGTTTTAGAGGGAAGACATGTAAATGTGCAAGCAGTGTTAGATTTGTATGTTAGATTCACATACATAAATTGGAGTGCTGGAAAAAAATCCAAGCATAGCTACACCTACATCATTATTGATTTTTATAAAATAGCTGAATTACACGCTCCATATGGCCTCATAGCTCAGCCTTGGGTCAGCTGGTTTCTCAATACAGGGGCTGAGCTGACCCTCGTCTACTGCAGGTCATATACTTACTATTGACATGACACCTCATCCAACCCTCCTTCATTCTTCAACTATGACTTTGGAAACATGGTTGGCAAACTGAATTTCGCCAACCAATGAACCAACCAATGACCTTGAATTTTTTGTATTTATTTATTTATTTATTTTAAATTCAGCCAAATTTCGCTGCACGTTTGATTAGAGACTTGTCTTTTTTTCTCAATTTTAACAAGTTTCTGTGTGGAGATGATGAAAGCAAAGATCATCCATGTAGCAACGCTTACATTATTCATGAAGTAAGCTCAAAAGTTTGTGTTGAGATAATGATGGATCAAATGATCTCATGGGTCAGAAAGGTGTTCAATCCGCTCCATGGTAATTACAGAGGCTAACGTTTGTGATATATTTGCTAAATATTTCCAGGTTTCCTCTGTATGATCCATTCTGAGGAGGAGGAAAGTAACATAACATATTTGTTCTTCTACCTCATCACTTTTAGAGTAAAATCCTCTCTAAGCCAAACGTGATAAATGTGTTTACTGCATCTGCATCGATCTACAATGTAAAAAGTGTCAGCACTCTTTTATCCAGTTTCTTAGAAGCCCTTTCGCCCCGGGCTCCTTTTTGTTACAATACATAAATCTTTGCTGCACCTTTCCTGTCTAAGAGGTCTGTTATCAGAGATGTAGGCGAAGCCTCCACAGCTGGCTGCCTCATCACCACAGCGGCCGCGATAATGATCTGAGAGGCAGACAGCGGCGCTCTGGGACAGATTAGACCACAGCAGTGGGTACAGTAATAACAGCTGCTGTCGTGGCAAAGCCTTGCAGTCAACCAACAGGAACAAAACACCCGTTCAGCTCTGCCTGGCGTCCTCCTTCAACTTTTCTTTGCTTATCCAATGTTCTCTCATCTTCTAATTGCTTTTCTCATCATGGCTGAGCAGAGTGAGAGTAATTGGACTTTCCTCCTTGCTCCAGCTGTGCAGCAGTTTGAAGAGGTGAGGATCTACATGTTGAATAAATCACTCTCAAGGATAATGAGGCTGCAGTATTTAATGCTTTAAATGACTTGAAAGAGTCTTTCTGAGGAGAAAAGTCAGCGTGGGAAAGAGGGTGAGTGTCCCTGTTTTTTCCTTTCTCATGTTTGAAGGTGAAATGATGTTTGTGTAAACTAAATGTTGAGTAAAGAACTTCAGGGTGTGTACGTGTGTGTGTGTGTGTGTGTGTGTGTGTGTGTGTGTGTGTGTGTGTGTGTGTGTGTGTGTGTGTGTGTGTGTGTGTGTGTGTGTGTGTGTGTGTGTGTGTGTGTGTGTGGACTCACCAGCGCGTCCTGGCCTCCTCCAGCTCTGTCAACACTCAGGTGTTCATCTGAGTCCTTCAGCTTCCTCACCTGAAACAAAACAACAAACAGAAAACATTTCATTATGATGAGATAAGAAATACTTTATCGGTTCCATATTTGTGGATATTTAATTGTTACAGCAGCTCAAAGTCGAGGACAGGGCTCATCAAGTGAACGATAACTAAAGTCAAATGACTAACTATTGACAAGAATAACAGAATGATCACACATATACACTGTGTATTAAACAACTTCAATCAATTAGAAAACTAGATCTTTAACTGGGGGGAATAAATATGTTTACTGAACATTTGTGTACATCATACACTCATGTAAAAAGCACTTCATAGTGCAAAAAAGGCGATTGAGCTCATAAGAAGCCAAAATAATGTGTCTACTATTTTGACTTTTGTTTGTAGTTTCAGCGTTTTGATTGAATAGACTCAACAGTTGAACCCTTTCCTTTGAACAAGCTCACCAGGCTTTGTGCTGGTGTAAAGACCTCGAGATCAAATCTAACTCAACCTCCAAAAACATAAGAAATGAGGTGACGTGCAGCGCCAGTGACCTAGTGGTTAGTGCGCGGCTCCATGTATGGAAGCTATAATCCTCCAAGCATTGTTCAGGTAGTCAACTCCTGCTGCACTGATTTCACATTTGGACTGCCTGTTTCTCAACAATCACCTCAATACACCTCCTTCCAATTAGCCGTCTCTCCCTCTGCTCCTTCACTGCCAGCTCTGACCTGCACCAGTTCTGTTCTCCTGCTCAGCCCCACCACCACCCCAGCATCCACCTGTAGGCTCCGACTGAAGGATTTAAGATATCATCCCAACACAACCTCAAATTTCTGCATGTGAAATAAAAGTATGAGGAGCGATGAGGTCGGAGCCTAGACGCCAAACACAAACTTTGTTCTGCTGCGATAATATTTCAAAGGATACAAATGTGACTGTTATTCACTTAAAAGAATGGGGGCGTCGCAGCCTAGTGGTTATAGCATAGCTGGTGCAATTCAATGGCTGGTGTAGTCCTCCAATGGGGGCGGTCCTGGTTCAAATCCAGCCTGTGGCTCCTTTCCTGCATGTTGTTCCCCTCTCTCTCTCCTGATTTCTGACTCTATCCACTGTCCTATCTCTCTAATAAAGGCAGAAAAAGACCAAAAATAAAAAGTCCTCAGAACATAAAAAGTATTAGAAAAAAAACAACAACTCTCAAACAGCATCAAAAAATACAAAACTTTGTTTCCTTCACAAAATCATTGTTCATAGCATGGCAGCTGTACTGAGTTGCATTGTCTTACACAGATGTTCCTAACAAAACAATAACAGATGAATGCAACAGAACACAGCACTTAGAAAGACCCGCAGCATTTTTGCGAAAGTCGTTGATGTCAGAAAACTTTTGTGTTTCCAGATTTGAAACTGCTTTGATAAACACAAGTCTCCAAACTAACTCCAAAAATACAGAAAAAAAACCCCAGTGGTAGTTCATTCAGTCTGAGCTGCAGCAACAGTAAAATGTGCTTTCACTGCTAACATGCATAAAGTTTAATTCCAAAAGTTTGCACAAAGAGATAAATAAAAGTTTGGATTATTTCCTGTCTTGGTGCACTGGTGGTTTACCTGCAGCAGAGTGTTAGGAGGAGCTCTATAACAAGCCTCACTCTCCACTGGATCACGGGGGGGAGGTTTCTCAGGGCCCCCCACTGAGAAACAGACAGCACACACAAATACACCAACTAATCCCTCAAGCCAAAGAATTAAAAAAATACCCCAAAAAAGCACATGGCAAAATTTTAATCCTTGGAGCCCATATTAACTGCTGGTGGATAAGGAAGTTACAACAAACATCCTGCAATGTAATCTTTAAGAAATGAGCCCACTGAGCTATCAGGAGGACGGTTAAACCACAGACACTTTCATCCTTTAAAAAAAAAAGCAGCAGGAAAATCCTATCCTACTTCCTCAGATCACTTTCTATCAATGGAAGAGTTCAAAGTATTCCTGAGAGAGACGAGCATGAGGAGCTACATGTGCAAATTCCAATAAAACATTTTGTCCCTTAAACATTTAAAATAAATGTGTCTTCCATGTTTGATTGTTTATCTTAGTATTGGGAGTTTCCCTCACTTGTAGACTTTTGCTTTACTTCGTTATCTTCTATTCTACCTTTTCTCTCATCTTTCATTTATTTACTATGTTTTCAATCTGGGGTTTCATTCAAAACCTAAGAATTATACAGACAGCATTAGTGCTTTTTCCTTCTGTAAAGATGTGATGATAAGGTCCAGGAATATTATCTCTGTTTCCCTGAAGTGAAAAAAGTGTGAAAATCTGAATCAAGTGTTTTCATTCACTTCAATAAAAGTGAAAAGACCTTGCTCATGTTAAATCTACAGTCTGATATTGATTTTCTAGATTCTTCTTTTTTTACCGCTGTTTGGAAAATGTCAACAGAGAGCTATAACGTTTAGTTTTAATTATTAAAAAAACAGGACATTGAAAAAGGAAATAAAAATAACTTGATAAATATCTTAAATAATGAACACTTTGATGATGTGTGAATAAGCTCTCTTAACATCTGCAGTAATCACTGAAATAAACTCATCAACATTTTACACTTATTATAATCGAGGGACTTGAAGTGGTCATATTTGCTCATCCAGCCGTCACTCAAACAATGTTTGGTCAGTTAGCTTCAACTACAGACAGTTACACCTGGCAGCAGAGGTGCTGCTTGTCAACAGGCCAGGCAGGTAACTGGTGTAAGATTATTTTTGAATGCTGGCTGGAGGGGCCCCCAGTGAATTTTGCTGAGGGCCCCAACAGACTCTAGAATCACCACTTCCTGGCAGTTACACAGTTCAGTGTTGTAAACATTTACATTAGAGCATGAAGAGCTGACACTGTAGAGGCAGTTAGCTCAGACACCAGAGAGTGACTGGTTGTCATGATGTAGTATCCAATGAAGAGCTTGTTTGTGTTGTTAACACTTTGTGTTTACATTTACATGAGAACACACAGGGCTGCATCAGGGGGCAGTTCATTTAGCAGGCCACTTACTTTGCAAGTAAATACACTTGGCAGTTAAATCATTTAAATATTAAGAAAAAAATCAACATAAGAACTTTTTTTAAGCATAATCTTCAGTAATGGGGCGCAGCAGGATATAATCAGGAGAATTCACCTGGAGCCAGTGGGAGGGGGGGTGGTGACGTTTACATTCTGTGACTGCTGCACGGTGCATCGACTATATGCATGCAACCGCTACCATCTCCATGTATGTAATTGAACTGCTGCATTATGTTTCCTGTTCTCCACTATGTTCTTCTCCTGACGAACTTCACACAGCATTGATATGAATATATATTGAGGTATTGCGAACCGTATTACTCAAGATTAGGTTTGACCTCATGAAGAGTTGTTGCCTCATTTAAGATTTCATAGAGTAAAAAAAGTAATTTAAGTTAGCCACAAAGATATGAATGACAGGATGAGAGAGAGAGCAGGAAACAATGCTCAGGTCATTGAAAAACAATCAGCAGCAGCAGCTTTAAAACTCTGCAGGGTTTTTCTTTAATGGGAGTCATGGAGGATTGTGACATTTGAAAAGAGAAATGACAATGGATACAAGATAATAATAAAAAAGTAACTAACTGAAAAGTGTCAGTGAATTAAAAGCAGAACAGAAAGATTAAGATAAGCTGGGACATAAGTTTTCTGGCTTGTGCAGAGGATATGAACCTATAGGTGTGCTCCTGTGCACAGAGCGGCTGAACCTGTTCTCAGGTAAACTGTCACACAAACACACACCAGAGAAAGAAATGTCAAGACTCTTCTGCTCACTTCTCCTCCTGAGGAACATACACAGAGAGCTTAAAGCAGGATCATGTTAACAACTCCGTGTGTGTGTGTGTGTGTGTGTGTGTGTGTGTGTGTGTGTGTGTGTGTGTGTGTTTACCTTGGCACTGCTGTCAGAGTGACGTCTGGCACATGCTTGGAGCTGACTGATCCAAAACTGCTGCTCCTTGGCATCGGACGCTGCAAAGACACGGACAACTCAAGTTAATTATTGAAATGACAAGCTTTAACCTTCTTCACACACAAGACTTTAAGAATAACCAAGACACGTGACACCAGTTCACACTAAAGCCAAGATGCACTTATAAGAAAACTGCTAGAGTTCAGACAAAGGGTGACGTAGGCTGCATGTTATGTCATCAGTGAGGACGCCTTCCTGGATGTCACCATGTGGCAACCTCCCATTTTTAAAAATGAAGCTAAGTGCAGAAGTGCAAAAAGCTGCAGTTCTTCAGGTGACTACTTGAGGCAGGCTGCAAAAGCTAAGGAATTGCCATAAGGTCCTTTATTGAAATGTAATTTTTCATCAAAATGCCTATTGAGGCTCATTTCCTCTTTAGTGGTAAAAACGGTTCAGGAGGTCGAATTTCTGTTTTATAACGCTTCTGTTCAAAATATTAAACCTAAGACATGTGCATAGATTTGCATAATTAGGGGTGAGTTTGAATTTTGCTGAGTTGACTGACAGGTGGCCGCGTTGTAGTCGTTTGTCAGGGGGCAAAAGGCCTTAGCGTCACCTTTCACCTTTTGCTTGCACTATTAAATATGCAACCGCCATCGATAGGCTTCACAACACCTCTCCCAGAAACCAACGAGTGGCAGCACTGAGACTACGTCCGTGGATGTCAGTGATCCCATTTACACTCAAATGATTATTCAGCCCGCCTTCTGTATAACATCCTCAGAGCAGGTACAACATCTGACCCTCTTCATTTCAACCTCTACTCTGAATTGACTATTCAGTATTTGAGAAACAGCAGTAATTCATCTGGACCATTTCTGAGCAGCACATAAACAGTGTGATACTCTCTGCTTGTGATTTCCCCCTCTGGCAGTAGACACAATACACCCTGTTATCTGAACACAAATAGCCAGTTGAAGTTTTTTTGCTGACTAAGACAGAAAGCGGACGACCTAACAGTTGAAGAAGACTCTGACACTCTGCTTGTGTTGACCCTCTAAAGGTCAGATTGGAAATGAATATCTTTCTGATCCTGTTTCAGGGACTAATTATTGGAGGACAGTGACTCGGATCAGCCTGGTATCACTCAGTTCAGGCTGAAGGTCAACTGAGCACCAACAGAGCAAAACATTTAAAGGGGACATATTATGAAAAATCCACTTCTACAGTGTTGTTGAACATATATTTGGGTAACCTGAGTGTCTACTGACCCACAACATGTGAAATAAACCCATCCAGTCCTTTGTTTGTGGTCTGCATAAGTCTTACAACACAGAGAAAAATTATCTGTTTCAAATGTGCTCTCCTTGTGATGTCACAGTGGGATTCTGGTAAAAAAAAAAAGAGGGTGAGGTGGAAACATGAACATCTCACACCAAACATAAAATGTCATCATATACTAGGAAATCCTCAGCACGCTGACAGTATCTATAAACATTTCTCTGATAAGATAATCTGGGGGGTAGGCAGCATCTGAAGTCTTTACAGCTGACTTAATGCCTCTGGATTTAATGAAATGTGACAAGCGTTGATTGACACGCTGATGGAAATTGTTCCAACATATGGAGAATTCAATTTGCACTCGTCAGTCACTCGGGCTGAAGATGTCTGCCACAGTAACAAGAACGCCGTCAGAGCGCCTCTTTAGGGTGAAGAGCCAGCACCGAGAAAATGAGACTTTATAGAAACTCATGACAAGTGCAACATTGGAGATGTGATCCCTTCAGGAGTGGCTTCATACAGACACACCTGTGCCACGCTGTCTTTCTGCTAAAAGAAACAATCAACTTCACCGACATCAGTCACTGAAGAAGGAAAACATCCCCTGAGAGAGAGAGAGCGTCTAAATCTGATGTTTCTCTCTGATGTGCACAGGCCTTGCTGTAATTAAGGATAATTAGCTGTCTGTATTGAACGCAGCACTGTGCAGCGATGCTAATATGCACCTGTTTGCATGGTGACGGGGACTTGCCGTGCTCATTCAGGGAGAAAACTGATCTGACCTTTTTTTTAAAGCCAGTTTGGTGTCACAAGAGCTGCAGACCTTAAGGGGACACGCTGACAGCTCTATTTATTTGATGAATGCAGGACATGTGAGCAGGAAACCTCGGGGAAATGAGTAGCCGGGGCCGTCTTCCAATTGAAATGAGCGACAATAGACACTCAAAGTGGTCATATTTAAATGTCAATAAGAGGAAGATGACTGAGTCAGAGAGAGAATCCTCGTCTCCAGTCAATCATAGCCCCACCATGCTCGTCTCATTACACCACTCTTAATCACAGCAAAGTAAGAGATCGTATTGGTAGGAATAACGGTGAGTCAGAGGTTTAAAGCCTGTGATGGCAGTCAGTATATCTGTCTTCCTCATATTAAAAAGACTAAAACTCAAACTCAGTTTCTACTTTAGAATCAAATCTGTTCTGTCGAGTTTAAAAAGAGACGGCTTGAATCCACTTTGATGTCTGTGTTGAAGAGAGATGTTTTAAAACACTGTATCATGGAGCCTCAAGCTTCATCCATCACTCATCGTTTGTTGTATGCATGTGTTGAATTTGACTTTATTTCCACACATAGAGACAAACACCTGTGTATTCTTATTTACAGTCTATTTTAAATCTTCCTTCTTCTTACCTTCTGACCCACATCAGTCAGAAGCATCTGTTGGGACTAAAGCCCGTCAATGTAACGCCACCACTATTTGCGCTAACTAGCAACAAATTTGTAACTATTCAGATTCAATAATGCCGTTTTAATTATTGACATTTTAAAACAGTTTTAATTACTGATATTTGAAAGCCATTATAATTGCAAAAAAGTTTTGTTTTTTTGATGTCACAAATTTACCAAATAGAGAAAACTAGGGTGTGCACATCCAGGTGCATGACAAGAAATGTACTAACTAGAAAAAGAGGAAGGTCTGCACACTGTTCAGCCCCCAATGGGACATTTTATTTAAACATAGCTCCGTTTGGATCTAAAAGATCTTCCTCAGGTCGCGCAAATGTACCAAATGTCACTTTTTTTAAATTAGTTTTTCATGTTTTTCCACCAATAGAAAAAAAAAAAGAAGTTTCAGACAGTTTGTTCACAGATGACTAGCTTAGCATAAAAACTAGGCTAAACAACTACCTGCCATACTCAACCACAGACCTCATTAAGTACAGAATGAACAAAAAAGAGAGAGATGTGAATGTAAAGAGAGAGATGTGAAGATGTTGGTAACTAGAACTAACTTGCTGTTTTACCTTTTTCCAATATATTAAATGGACAATCAACATGACAATTATATATAATGTTTAGCAATGGTTAGCAATCTTTATGTAAATAGCCAAATAAAACAACTATTAGTAATCACATCAGGTAGAAACAGCAGGATATGGGGGTCATCATGGGATATATTTGGTACATTTTGGTGCTGGGAATGAAAAAAAAGACTTTTGCAGATTCCTGTTCTGATTTTGTCTTTGGGTTGAATAATAAAAACCGCTCATTATGGTGCTTCATAAGAATCTGTGTCACACATCCAAATGAGCCAGTTTGAAAAGTTGACCCTTTCACTGGCTGACTGTCTCAAAGCCACGTCGTTTGATTAATAGCTTCATTTGCAGACGGCACATTCGGACATGATTAAACTCCCAGCATGCTTCACCTCCCTCCATTCGATAATGAAATACTACTTTGATGTCACTCTGCTTTAACTAATAACTCCTAGCTCCTCGGGGAGCTCACAGCTTTGTCAAATTGAAGTCCTTAAGATGGATCAAATGAAAAATAAAAAATAAACATTAGTAAGAATCGTGATCAGTGAGGGGTCAGGTTTTCTTCAGATAGTTAACATTGTATTTATTTTGATAATCCAAGTGATTATCATGCATCAGTACAAACAATAACAACCAAGAATACAGATTTCATTTTCCTATAATACCTGATACCTTATGGAAGCGATTAGTGATCAAAATTCAAATGATAAAGCTTCATCATTTAAATTTTGTTTCTTTCATAACACCTTAAGTCATTTTAGAATATTTGAAAAACTCCAACCGCTCCCTGTTTGTTGCCTTTTCAATCTGCATGGAAAGCACTTTGAGAAAGGTGATATTTAAATGATTTAAATTAGAGATGTGTGACTTTAGTCAACTGAACGCTTAAACTCCATCACCTTCGCTCATCTGCACCAGAATTACTAATTGGTTCAATAAATGATTAATCTTTTTTTAAATATTTTGTAGCTGCAGCATGGTTTGGCAAAATCTGGATCTAGAAAATGGAGATCAAAATGTATGAAGGCTGTAAAGTTAAACTAACATAACGACTGCAGAGATGTTGATGCCGAAGAGGAAAATCCAAACACTTCAGTAAAACACTATTTCTGCCACTATTTCTGGGACAAAATCTGATGAACTATGACCACATGAAACAAACTGAAAGAAGCAGCCGTCCCAAGTGGAAGCTTTGCCCTTTTACTGTGAATCCAGTATCTTCTTCCACCAGTTAGCACATTGTGTTCAGAGAACCCTCTTAAGTATCAGCCTGAGAATAAAGGTGGCATTTAAAGCTTTAGACACAGGTGAGATTATATGCAGCTTCCATGCTCAGCCAAAAAAAGAAAAATAAACAGGAGAAGGACCTCAGACTGAACTTTGAAGTAACTTTTTCATTTTCACCCCCAGGGTAGACTTTGGCAACCGACAGCGAGATCTGAAGCGTAGCGGCTAATCTCAATCACCGGCTGTTTGTGGATGTACATGTGACCACTTTGTACCCCGCAGTTTCAGCAAATTGGAGTTTTTGAGTACAAATGCTGCCTTACACCTGGAGTCATTTGAGACACACTACTTCAAATGTTATTCTGTGTTTGTTTTTTTGTTTGCTTTATGGCTCAGGTTCAGTTTGTCTTAATCCTTCCCTCGTGTCAGTCAGGACCTGTAAACTACCCAGCACATGGGTTCATTGTTTGCTCTTAGCTGAATACACGCAGATCACTGAGTTATTCAGGGAATATAGGCCAAGTTATTCTGATATCCTCCCCCCCTCCAGAGTTTTAGGGGACATTCCAGTAACTCAAGTGGAGCAGCAGTAAAAAGGAGTGTCTCTCGCCACAGTGGTTACAGGTCAGGGCCTTCAGACACAGTGACTACAGGCTCCATGAGGGGGTCTCTATCTTAAAGGGATACTTCCTCTTGAGTGTAGACTTTCTTAATATTTTGGCCATACAGATGTAAAAAGGAACATTTTGTAGATTGAAGGCATTTTTCAAAAAAAGAATAATTAATTTATTAAATCCACTAAAAGTATGTGGTACAGTCTGAATCCCTGACAGATCAAAGATTTGATGTTTTCATTTATGTATTCCTCTATTTCTTTCTCACTGTTGCAATATATTCTTTTGATTGAAGTTACACTTAACTGTGCAGTATATGTTATTCACTGTGCAGTACATACTACTGGGCAATACCTCTTTTTGTTTTCTTCTGTAAAGCATGCTTGATGTGTTGCTGTGGATGCTTCAATGTTTTGAACGTGAAGCACGAGCTGGAGTTCAACTTTTTGCTCCATAAAGCTGACAAACACTTCGACACGTTGGTACGACGGTCGCTACATGTGACACCTTTCACATCACAAAGTCATCGGATCCATTGTTTATCCCACAGCAGCTTTAAGGCTCTAATCTGAGGAGTTTCTGTTTGAGTAAGTTTGCAAATTGGTAAGTTTGCCATTGGTGGCCTACTGATGAAAATGAATACATCTGGATGTCCATATGTAGACAAACAAACAAAGCTGTGAAGGAGGACACTGTCTGGATTTCTCTCAAGAATAGGATTTTTTCTTCAGCGATAAATGTCACCAAAGAGAGACAAACTATGATCTTGGTAATTGCCACTTTGAGAGTAAAACAAACTCTCTACAGGAAGTTGTGATGCTGCCATTGTGTTTATGAATATTAATCACTGTCAGCTACTTCCTGGAGCATAGTGTTGCACCAATTAACCAATCAGAGGCTTTCAGAAGTTTTTTCGAAACTTTTCACCAACTGGACGCTGAGTTACAAATGTGAGTCAGCACTAATGTCTAAAGTGTTTGAAAAGTGAAATAGTATAACCATCAATGATTTTATAACTGAGCAGCTTCACAGAAAGTACTGCTGCTTCCATTTTAACACGTTTATTTTGGCATCTTGACACAGAAAATGTCAGGAAGTGGTGTCAGAGGACAAACACTTCTCTCAGCTTAAAGACGGTGCTACAGCTACAACAACAACAACAACAACAACAACAACCCCTCAAAACATCTCATCTAGAAATGCAATTTTTTGTTTTAAACAGCTGCCACAAAATCAGGCATCCAGGCCGCAACAAGCACAGAAAAAGGCTGCATCATCCTTTAGGGACTGAAATCACATCACAGCTTTCATTTCATAAATCACTTCATCCCCATCAATCCAGAGCTTACTGCTTTCACAGACAGTGTTACAGCTTCTTCATAACACCAGAGTGAGAGCACACTGCACTCTAAGATGCTCCATCATAAAACACACACTCCACTCGCTGTTTGCCATATATGGGCATCCTGAGGCCGGCGTGAGATGAGGGCATACCTCTGAGTTTGTACAGCTCTCCATTCACAGAGTTTACGACGAACATGTTGGGAGCCTCGTCGCTCGGGGTTACCGAGGCACCGATCAGGGGCAGTGACCCGCGGGGCTTCTGGCTTCTCCCCTGCTCGTTGACAAAGTACTGCAGCTGTCCCAACTCTGGATCCAACACAAAGTACCTTAAACACAGACACACAGAGAGAAAGAGAGAGGGAAGTGAGGATAGTTAGGAAAAAAAATTCCAGTTTGCAAAAACTTTTCAATGTGTGGAAGAGACAATGAGGAGGAGGGTAATGAATGAGGGAAACACACAAACACACAACATCCTTACATTTCTTCCATCCCATGCAACAATGCCTGCAGGCTATTATTCAGCACAGCTCTCTTCACACACCCTCTGTGCACATTTAAACGCCTGCTTTCACCAACATCCAGCCGGCAGTTAATTTCAGAATTACTCAAGGTGGCAATTAGTCCCTGCACCAGGCGTGGAAATGAAACCCTGAATTCTCCTCTTTGTGATTAATGAATCACCTTCAATCACCAACTAATTGAATTCTCTGCCTCGCTCATTGCTGACCGGAAGATTGAAAGAGGGACAGACACCTAACCTACGACACAGAAAAAGAGGATGCATCACACTTCCTGTTCTGCAGACATGCCTCTGCTTCTGCAGTTCAGCACAGGCTCCATTGGCATGGCTTCAGCTGACCTCTCCATGTTTGTGTACAGTGGCCATGAGATATAAGCACTTTGTTGTTTTTTGTGTTTCTTTTTTTCCCCTGAAGTTCGCACATGTTCACGGTCAATGTTCTCCCTCCGCCCTGTGACTACAGAAGCGTCAGTATTGATCAGCTTTCACACACATAGATGCTGCTTGCTTTTTACAAGGTGTCTCAGATTTCAAGGAACAGCAACAACCCACGTCAATCTGTTGTCATGCTTTAGATGGAAGAGGTCAAAAAGCTGCTGCAGCACCAAAGACCAACTATATTAACTTTATAAGACCGACATGTTTAAGCTTGTAACCTTCATCTGGATTGCTTTAGTTTAAAACACTTCTCCTGCCACTTATATTTTAGATGAAATATCACAGACTGTACATTGAGGAGTTGTCAATATGTTTCATATTAGAACCTGACCAATTAATCGGCCGGCCGATAATAACGGCCGATATCAGCATACCAAGTGACAATCCACATCGGCTCATTTTAACGCAGATATGCGCCGATATTACTAGATTTATTCACATGTCAAATGTAATTTCATTTGAGTTTCATTGTATTACACTAGCAGTTCTCGTTCTGCCTGTCACAGCAGAGGGCGCTGTTTGGATCATCACAACAAACATCATCACTCTCCAGAGGGTGAAGCGTGATGTACATGCACAGTTACTCTCAAGGTGAGTGACCATCTTGTCTACTATATAAATCTTTTCCACAGGTGTTTGATGACTGCATTTGAGGGATCAACACAATAAATGTCTGTATTTAAATCTCTCTATCTGTACAGATCGAAGATAGAACCGATAAAGATATCGGCCGATCTTTGCTGTCAGATTTGACTTAACCCTCATATTGATATCGGTAACAGTCGGGCTATGTGTGTACAATACAATATAAAGGAACAGATTTAACTTGAACAACTTTTACGTAGAGCATTGTTGTGTTTATTCAATGTAGTTAATCCATACATAAAAGCTTTAACTTACTTCACAAAGACTCACTTTAAAAGTCAACGGGGTGTAAATACAGCGCCTGTGTGAATGTCATAGAAATGTTAAACAACTGTCGTTGCATTCAGACAGTCAAGATGTCAGCTCGATGTCTTTACACAAAAATGATCCCACTGTGAAACATGGAGGATTCTAAATTGGGGATAAAGACAAATTGGGCATTGGGTCGATAAAGTTTGAACAGGACATCCCTCATTTTCAGCCACATGTCCCGAAACCCCCCCAGATAATTCTAAAGCCCAAATAATTAATTAACTTTTTAAACTGTCGAACAAATTGCCTCAGCATCATTTGATATTTACGACGAGACATTACACAAACGATATATGAAGAAAGAAATCTGTTAGTGCATCCTTCACATCAGGCATTTCCCCATGAAGCCTCCAGAGAGCGGCTGCAGTGAATACAGCTCTCTGGAAAATTGATCCCTGCTCCCGTCTCGCCCGCTTCCATCAAGAGAGCTCGTGATTTATGTCGACCACAGCCAACCAGGGAACAATCTGCCTGCGTCAGTTTCTATCCAGCCGTCTATCTATCCTCTATTTCACGCACGCACGCACGCACGCACGCACGCACGCACGCACGCACGCACGCACGCACATGTACGTTTGTGAAGCCTTATCCTGCGTTAGGTCAGCAGAGTGGAAGCTCTTACCGCTGACCCCTCCAGGCGTTCTTGCCTTTGCAGCTAAACCGAGCACAATGCAGACCTTTAACTTGATGGATGGTGCCTCGTGTCAGAGCAGCGCTGATAACGGCTGACCTGAGAGGCCTCAGAGTCTTTGTGCGCACACTGAACAGTTCACCTTTGGCGGCACGAGAGCAGATATTGATGGGACAATACACTGCACTTGTTCAACAAACTGAAAACAATACATCTTGCTGTACAAGCACATGCCTCAAAGAGTCTTCAGTGTGGGTGGGTGTGGTGAAATCAGTGACTTCACCAGGGATCCATACCATGATTTATGAGTTATATTATCTTGAGATATCCACAAACAGTAGAGAGAGTGATGGATACCCACTGACTTTTTTATCCCACTTGTATCGAAGGGATACATAGGTTATTTGTAGTAAAGATTTATTCATGTGAGATTGCTGTTAGGTCCTTCAAAAGCTATTTGAAAAATGTGTAAAAATATTTTCTGTTAGGTAGTTAGTAGTAAGGTAAAGTAAAAAAACTTGACATATTCATATTATCTGGATTATTTTATTATTAGCATGGGATCACTAATTTCTGTTTGGGAGGAGAGGTGAAAGCTCTGTTGTCACATTTAATCTAGGCAGAAACACTGATTATGTGACAGCATAAAACACTTAAAATATCTTATATATCAATTTTTTTTAAAAGCCGTAAGACAAAAATGAACGGATTGCAGTTGTCATTGTTTCAGGTTTATCTGCAGAAACCCCGCTTTTAACTTCTTCCAGACGTCAGTAGAAATGGAATAAATCAAACTTCTGGGGTTTTCTGATTTTTACATCACAAACTATATCATATATCAACTATATTTTGTCTACTAAATCACAACTATAACCTTGATTAGACTTTTAAAAACAACTAAGTCATGGATCAACATGAACAGAATCAGCATTAACGTTGATGCTGAAAGATGAAGCTAGTCAGCACAGTTTGAATCTCGTCCAGACTTTTTAGTTGTTAATTCTAAATCAGACAAAGGCAGGAAATCACTGGGCTAGTGGCAGGAAATGTGAGCTATACTTATTCTGTAATAAAATGTGCATCATCGTGGTGTCAAAGGAGTCATTTAAAGACAATATTTGAGTAAAGTGTGGTATCATAGCAGGATCTCTTAAACGTTTTTTCAACTTCCAGGGGGTCAGGATGGCCCCAAACAAAACAACAACTAAAAAATACTAAAAGTTTTTGGATAAACAGATTGTTGAGTCTAATATAGACTTTGCTTTTACCTTCTGTTTGATCCTCAACAACTACAGTTGCAATCAAAATTATTCAACCCCATTGCAAATTAGGTTTATTGGCTAAATTTACAAACTTTCAGCTGCTTGCAATGAACAAATCCAAAAAAGCACAATTTACATAGCTCAACACAACTAATAATATCAGTGGTTTCTCTAAATTCAACACAAAATGCCACTTTTAATGCCTGCTGCGGTCTCAAAATTATTCAACCCCTTTATGACAAGCATCTTTAGTACTTCGTAGAGCACCCTTTTGCTGTTATGACCTGCTGCAAACGTGATGCGTAGCCAGACACCAGCCTTTGGCAGCGTTCCTGAGGAATCTTAGCCCATTCCCGATTTGCTCCAGTTCTCTAATATTCTTCGGTCTGCGTGCTGCAACTGCCTTCTTCAAGTCCCACCAGAGATTTTCAATGGGGTTCAAGTCAGGCGACTGTGATGGCCACTCCAGAATCTTCCAGGACTTCTTCTGTAACCAAGCCATGGTGGACTTTGAGGTATGCTTGGGATCATTGTCCTGTAGGAAGGTCCAACGACGACCAAGTTTCAACTTCCTCACTGATGGCATGACGTTTTCACCTAGAATTTCCTGATATTTTATTGAATCCATCTTTCCCTCTACACGCTGAAGGTTGCCAGTGCCAGAGGAAGCAAAGCAGCCCCAGAGCATCACCGAGCCCCCTGTAAGCAGGGTGTTCTTCTCAGCATATGCTTCATTCTTCCTTCTCCAGACATACCGCTGAGCCATAGGCCCAAAAAGTCCCACTTTGGTTTCATCGCTCCAGAGAATAGAATCCCAAAACTTCTGTGGCTTATCTATATGGTTTTTAGCATATTGGAGCCGGCTTTTTTTGTGCTTTTGGGTCAGTAGTGGTGTACGTCTTGGAGTTCGGGCATGGAGACCTTCAGCGTTTAGTATGCTCCTAACTGTGGAAACAGAAACCTCAGTGCCTGCTGCCACCATGTCTTGCTGCAGGTCTTTTGCAGTCACTCGAGGGTTTTTGATCACTTGCCTTCTCAGGAATCTGATGGCAACCATTGATAGCTTCCTCTTTCTGCCACGTCCAGGTAGTATAGCCACAGTTCCTGTAGCTTTAAACTTGCGAACTATGCTTCCAACTGTATCGCTAGGAACATTCAGTGCCTTTGCTATCTTTTTGTATCCTTTTCCTTGTTTGTGCCAGACAATGATTTCTTCTCTTATCTTTTTGGACAATTCTCTTGATTTAGCCATGTTTCTCACATGCAACCAATTGTCACTGTCAACAAACTCCTTGTCAGACCAGGTATTTGATGTGTTTCAGGCACACCTGATGGAACTAATTGAGCTCTTGATTGGTTGCATCAGGTGTGCTTGAAACAACACTCAATTTGCAAATGTGTGCTTTTATGAGGGATTCTATTCAGGGGGTTGGATAATTTTGACACTGCAGTATTCTTTAAAAAGTGGCACTTTGTGTTGAATATGGAGAAACCAATAATAATAATTGTCTAACGCTC